CACGACCACCATGCATGTTTCAGTCTATGTGATATTCCAGAATCTATGTAATGTTCATGAGTATATTTCATGGTTAAACTTGTAAAATTAATAACTTTGCAGTAAAGTCTTGTTTGTATTGACTCTAATGTAGGTCCAGACAAATTTGCCTGGTTCTTTATCAAATGTGACATTCAAATGAATAGTCCTAACTACAAGAAAGTGCCAACTATATCTACCTTTGCTGAACTAATACAAGTTGATGGTGTACCATCACTTGTAATATTGTGTGTAGTTAAAAGTCACAACTAAGGATAAGATTTTCAAAATTAAAGCACTCCCACAACCATAATTCAGTGGGAAACCCCCAGACCAAATTACAATGTCAAGATGTAAAATTTTAAATGCATAAGAGTATTAAAATAATTAAGAGGAATGTACAGAAAGTAGCCCTGAAAATGAAAGTTGTTTTACAAATGAGGTTTGAACAACAGTTTACTAAAATTATTGCAAAATGATTAGCCAGCTCTCCAGCTAAGCAACATCATTGTACCATAGCATTTCTGACAGTTGAACGTGTTTTATAAATGATAACAAAACATAAACAAAGAATGACGGTCTTGCACTCTCTATAGCTATAATACACTGGTTTTCCAGGATTCTGGTTGCACTCTCTATAGCTATAATACACTGGTTTTCCAGGATTCTGGTTTTCCAATATTTTGGTGTTCCAGGACCTTGGTGGACTAGATTCTTAATGCTACATGCCTTTATTCCTCCAGGCATTGCATGGTAAGACTGTTTATCATCATAGTGACAGCCTGGTATACTCTGAATTATAGACCCTTGAAGTTACAAAGAGTGTAGGAACAATGGAATTTCCTATTTTAAAAAAACTCTTGGTGTACCAGGCTCTTGAACCTCCAGGTCCTACAAAAAGAATTGTTGATAGTTGGTGAAGAAAATATAAGGGTATAAGTAATGGCCAGAAAATATAGAGAGTAAAGGATCAGAAACATTCAACTCATTTTCCTCCATAGATTTCAACCTGGTTTGGCTGGATGAGCATTTAGAATTATTTTGTGTGTGTTATTAATATGCTTAAAGGCTAAGAAAGTGATTTTATTTGATATATTTTTATTCTTAAGAACCTAGAAGCTCCTACATTTTTGAATGTAAGCTACTGAAATTTTGAAATATAATTATAACATGGCTTGAGTATTCGCTTGAATCTGAAATTTAGTTTTCATATATTTTAAGCATTTGTGCCTACTTTTTCCATAAGTGTAAGATAAGACTTTTGAATTTTTTTCGCAACAACTTTGAAGTATTTTTGTGCTTATGGAACATAGAAGCAATGTAGAAATAAAGCTTGTAGAATTAGATGAGCTGATGTTGCCTTGAATTATTGCAATAATGAAAAGATATATGCCTTGATATCCATATGATTTGTGATATGATTGGAAAGGTTTGTCTAATTTCATTCTGGAATTAATTCTTTTGGGACAAATTCCGGCTGTGATGAACACAGGCTTCATATTTTTCCTAGAGGTCTATAAAGTTCTTTAGGGCTCTTAAGGAGATGTCCAGGCATCAGGACCCCTTGACCTAACAATGGGACTGGGATCCCTCAAATCAGCAAGAGGTAGAGCATCGCCTTCACCTCTATACCATTTAAATGCTGCTTCTTTCAACCTCTAGAAAAATGCCACACTGCACTGTGGGAGTTGATAGGATTACTTGTGATTTGCAAAGATGCATGGAGGAATGAGTTCTGATGAAGGCTGCCTCCCATTTAGAGTGTAAGCAGGCAGCGTTTGTCAGAACTCATTCCCCCACTCATGTTTGTGGTTGCAGGAAATCTTTGGGACTTCTACTGTGTAGGAGGATGCTTTTCTAATGGTTCGAAGACACAGCATGGGAATGGCATGGAGGCAGGGGGGATGCCCATACCTCATAATTCGACCTGTGGGGTCCTTCACTTCTGAAAATCCCATGGCAAGTCATAACACCTGGAAAAAAGACTTTGCAAAACTGGGGAAATCTGGAAAAGGTGAAGAACATGGCAACCAGAAAGATTTTCTTCCTCTTTCATAAGGCTGCAAGCAGGGCTAATCACAAAAAGTGAATGATAAGTTAAAGATAAATATAAAAAAAATCTTTTCACCCCAACACATAGTTGAACATAGTCCATAGTTATCTACAACAGGGAGATAACTCATGGAGGATGGAGCTATTAGTAGCTACTAGTCATGAGATAAACATATTCCTTCCATTACCAGAGATAGTATGCTAGTATGTCAGTTGCTAAGGAGCATGAGCCAAAAGGTGCTATTACACTTATGTCCTCCTTGTGTTGCACTTATCTCCCGTTTATGGGTTTTGCATGCAAAAGCGGAATGGGTTTGTTGGTGAGTGAACAGATATAGAGCCGACAGGGTTCTTCTTGTGTTCCTGTGTATCCTTCAGTTGATTTCTCAAGCTAATATCAGTCAAAAGAAAGCCTAGTTTTGTTTTCCTAGGTAAAGGATGGCTTCATTTGAGTCAAGAGTTCATCAGAATTTCTCCCAGGAAATTACACATTTGAGCTTTATTCTAATTAAGAAGAAAGACAATAAGAAAGACAATAAATAATGCCTCGTACCATATAAAGACAATATCTTAACAGCACTGATTAACTGTGGTGGTGGTGATTATGTGCTGTTAGGTTATTTCCAAATTATGGTTACCCTATGAATTAGTGATTTCCAAAAGGCCCTCTCATCAACAGGCCCTGCTCAATTCTTGAAAACTCAGGGCTGTGACATTTTATTGAGCCAATTCACCGCTGTGGCCTTCAATTTTTCCCAGTATTATCCTCTTTCCAGAGGGTTTTCTCATGATGTGCCCAAAATATTAGGTAGCAACTTACTACTTGTTTTTCAAAATATGAACTGAGAGTTTTGCTTCTGGCTGCAGATTCTTGATTGTGTTGTGTGACATGGAACTGTGATCTTTAACCCAAGCTGCAGTAGAAAAGATTGTACATTTGTATGGGAGAATTTCTATGATCAAGTGGGCGACCTACAGAAAAATGCTAATATGAATAAAGACCAGGAAGTGATAAAACATAGCAAATGCAGAGAGTTAAAATATTTTGATCATATAGTAAACAAAAAGATAATGCTGAACAAGATTAGAGTTAGGACTAGTTCGGTGGCAGAATACGTTAGAACATAACCTAATGTAATTTCTCTCAGGATCTCATTAGAGCCTCTCACAAAACTGCTAGAGACGTGTGAAATGGAAAAACAAAAGCCAGATGGTCTCTGTGCATTTGTAAAATGGCTTGGATACTGAAACTTATGAGCAGAAGAAAGTTCATATAAAGGTGTTTTCTTCTCCCTTTTTCTTCAGTCCAGCTCGGTGCATAGCAGAGGAATCTATCTTGAGTGAGAAAGGATTATTCTGAATAACAATACAGTATGGTACAAAGGCTATCCCAGAGGGGTGAATTGGACAGTATCAGGTAGAGGCAGTTTGTGCAAGATGCCTCTGTCCAGTGTTGGTCAATTCCCTGCTCTCCCCGTAGCTTCCTGTACTATGCAATCAAGGAGTGTCTCCTGACGTTTCAGAGAGACTTGGGGAAGGCTCTGTAAGGAAGATAGGAGATGGAAGAGCCCCTTTATTTCAACTTCCTTTTGTTTACAGTTGCTAGCCAATGTTTTTACTTTTCAAATAACAGAAGGGCGGATATCCATGGCAGAAAGTGAGACTTTGGAACTCTTTAAATGTTGACTGCTTTCCATTTACAATTATGCCTAGCACTGCAGAAGTTTCACAACTTGAAGTAAAACTATAAACAATACAATTTATGGGGAGGAAAGACTCTAGTTCAGTAAAACGTTGTATGTGTTATTTCATTTAATGTGTATATTAAAAGTCAGTGGCTTCTAAAAGAGCCCTTGGCCAGGATTAAAACCGTGATGAGAAGAGCAGAGGACTTTAATACCCCTTCTCCCGTTTGATTCTTGGAAAATTCCTCTGCCTAGTGGTAAAGCTTTTTATCACTTGCATGTTCGCAAAAATATTTCCACAGATATAGCAGTTAACAGTGAGAAGAATAGGCTTCAATTTAGAGAAGGATGCAAGAGAGGTCCATGTGTACAACACTGTTTCTTTACTTTTCAGCACGAGCAACAAAGACATTCTGGTAATATGGGAAGCTAATATTTATTTGGCCAGTATCCTGTTTATGTGTGCGGAACTGAGCTGCAGGAGTTACTGAAGTGATCTAACAAAAGACAGGTTGCATGCCCTAGTGGAGCACGACTGACATCTCATCAAATCACCAGAGAATTGCACTGTTGAAGCTCTATGTGTGAATAAACACTAGAAAGGATATACAGTAGTTGCTATATTTTTAAAAATATAAACCTTCAGTATTCTGGGTGTGATGAAAGCTATCAGTGATAGAAATAATCCTAGCAGAGGAAAAATAGTTATTGCCTGTATGGATCAGTTTTGTTACTCAGAGTCTCTTGGTCATCCTGAAATTTGATTGGAGTTAGGAGAAGAACAAGAGAGGTTACAAATTCCCCTAAAATGGCTTTTGAGACCATTATCCAAGTTACCCTTCTAGAAAGACTGCCTGATTAGAGAATGGGTCAGGGGAGGCATTGAACGGTAGTGATTCGTTCCCTGTCTAGTTGGTGCTATAGGAACTATAACAATTTTTGTTATTCTTTGCCTCTTGCTTTGATTCTGCTTGTCAATTCAGCATTTTTTTGTTTGTTGTTTATCTTCATGGAAACATATTTAAAATAAACAAAAATTAAAAATGTAGGGTTCTTGGAAGTTTTGAAAGAAAACTTCTAGTGAGTCTGCAGGATTGCTGTGGTATCATTATGAAATGTTAAAAAATGTATTTACAAAAAAAGGGGGGGGAAGAAAAGAAAACAGCAAAGAATGCAAGTGGAAGCAGAACTGGTTTTTAAAAATATTTCTCAGAAACCAATGTAATTTATATCTACATTTTTTAGGATCCTCATGCTGAAGAATTTGAAGACAAAGAGTGGACATTTGTGATAGAAAATGTAAGTGAAAATTGTTTTTTTTTCCCATCTTGGTTTTCAGGTACATGAAGGTAGAACAGTTTGCCTTTACTCAGGATATGGAGTTTGTAATTTCCTCACTTCATACAAAAGATGGAATAGGAATCATTCAGGTTCAAGGAAATAAGGTGTTGTTATTGGTTTATGAGCATTGGTTAATAAGTAGGTTTTTCAGCATTACTTCCTTTTTATATCAGCTGATTAGATTTATATAAATTTTACTGTCAATACAAATACAGTTTTTTTTCCATATTAAGAGTTCAAAAATGTTCCAGTTTGATTTTATTGAATGGTATGGGATGTTTGCCTATAACTACATGAAGTGTCACTTCCAGTGAATTTTGTTTTGAAATATGCAGTGATCAGTGAAGTAACCTAAGCTACTCTGTGGTGTCTTGGTGAGGTAACTTGTAGTAAGAGTAATACAAAACAGTAGAGTTAAAGGAAACAAAAAAAAAAATCAAAATTAAGCATCAGTGTTCCTATCAAATAAACTTTGAGCAAAGTGGGGAAATTTTCTTAAGGTTCATAGCACCACACAGTGGTCAGAGAATAAATATACGATTTGTGATTTGGGAAAATAAATGCAGGTTTGCTTTGTTTGTTTGTTTGTTTTTGGAGCAGTCGTAGAACCAGACTGTGTGGCCTTGGGCAAGCTGCTCAGTCCCAGGGGGCCCCAAAGAAGAAGGAAATGGTAAAGCACTTCTATATATTCTCTTATCTATCTAGAAAACACTGGAAAGGGTCACCACAAGTCAGAAATGATTTGATGACATAAAATTATTAGAGCTGGTATAGATTAGTATGTTTGAGTGCCTGGCTGCTGGGGTGGCCAGGAGTACAGATTCCCTACTGTGCCTCCTGGGATACGCACCAGCTGACATCAGGGAAGATGTGGCTGAGGGGGCCTATGTGCAACACCATCTGCGTGGACTTGAGCAAGCTGTATGATTCCAGAGCAATACCAGAAAGGAAAAGGACTAAACCCGTTCTGAGTATTTTATAACTAGAAAACCCTGGAAAGGATGGCTGTAAGTCAGAGGTTTGCTCTGACTTAGGTGCTGTAGTTCACTGGTTCTTAACCTTGGGTTACTCAGGAGTTTTGGACTGCAACTCCCAGAAGCCTTCACCACCAGCTGTCCTGACTGAGGTTTCTGGGAGTTGCAGTTCATAAGCACCCGAGTAACAAAAGTTAAGAACCACTGCTGTAGTTGACACAGGTCTTACTGATAAGCCCGCTTGTCTGTGTTATAATGGATACATTTCAGCTGGTGCAGCCTGATGATGTGGACAGGATCTTTGGAGAGGTGAAAACCACTACATGAGGTAGCCCTTGCCCTTCCTGGCTTATAAGATTAGTCAGAGGGGGATTGGCTGAGTGAGTTAGAAGGGTGATTAATGCCTCTGTGTGACAAGGCAAGGTACCAAAATGCCTAAAGAAGGCAGTAAGACTTTGGTTTAAAAGCCATCCTGGAATCCACTGTATTAGATAATTAGCAGCCAGTCTCCAATATTTCATTTTTGAGCAAGGTCTTGGAGCATGTTGTGGTATTCTAGATCCCTTTCAGTCTGGTTTCAGGCCTGGTTATGGAACAGCAATCACTTTGGTTGCCTTGGTGGATGACCTATGCTGGGAAATGGGCAGAGGGAGTGTGTCCCTGTTGGTTCTGCTGCACCTCTCAATGGCTTTCTATATCATTGGCCATGGTGCCTTCTGGGGTGCCTTTCTGGGTTGGGTCTTGCAGGTACTATCTTAAAATGGTTCTAGTCTTCCTGGATGGTTGAACTTAGAAGTTGTATTGAAGAAATAACTATTCAACTCCCTGGCCGTTAGCCTGTGGTGTTCCCCAGGGTTCATGGCTGAAACCCATGTTATTTAGCATCTACATAAAACTGCTGGGAGGTATTGGCCAGATTTTGGAGGATCAGTGCCATCAGTATGGTGGCAACTCTATCTTTCCTTCCCATCCCTGTTCCTTGAGATGTCTAATCTGGTCATGGTAACGCATGCCTTAATTTTATGTTGTCTGGATTACTGCAGTGTGCTCTGCATGGGGCTGTCTTTGAAGAATGTTCAGATACAGTGGTGCCCCGCTTGACGACAAAAATAGCTTTATGATGACTTTGCAATCGCATAACAATGTTTCGATGGGGTTTTTTCACTTTACGATGAATAGTTCCCTACTCCGGGAACCGTTTTTTTGCTAGATGACGATTAGAAACAACTGATCAGCGTTTCGCAAAATGGCTCCCCACTGTTTTCCGGACCGATTGTTGGCAAGGCAGGGATCCCAAAATGGCCGTCCTATGGAGGATCTTCGCTGGACGATGAGGTATCTCCCCCATTGACTGGTTTTCAATATATTCCAATGGGTTTTTTTTTCGCTTGATGACGATTTCGCTTAACAGCAATTTTCCTGGAACACATTATCATCGTCAAGCGGGGCACCACTGTACTCCAGTTGGCCAGACTGCTAACTGGTGCTGGTTGGTGGGAGCACACAACTCCCTTACTACAACAGCTTCAGTGGTTCCAGTTTGCTTCCAGACTCAATTCAAGATAGTTATTACCTGTAAAGCCCTGTATGGCTTGGATCCACACTGTTTGAAGGATTGTTGTCATCTCACGTGAACCTACTAGGCTTCAAAGATCTTCCGGGGAGGCCCTTCTCTCGATTCTACAACCTTCCCAGGCTTGTTTGGTGAGGACACAAGAGAGGGCATTCCCAGTGGTTGCTCCCAGGCTTTCGAATATGCTGCCCCAAGGGGCCCACTCCTTCTTGTCCTTCCATCATCGGGCAAAGACCTTCATCTTTGAGCAGGCTTTTAAACAATGTGATGGTCTAAGGAATGTTCAATTTATGAAAACTAGATATTTAACATGTTTTTAAAAATGTTTTAAAATGTTCCTAATCCTGACTGTCTAATTTGTTTTTAGTATATAGTGTTGCATGGCATGGTAAATGTTATAACTGAATGATTTTAATTGCTGTGAGCTGCCTTGGGTTCCCTATGGCAATAAAGGCAGGATATAAATAAGTTAAATAGATGTATAAATAAATATTATTCTCAATGTAGCATCTGGAGTAAATTTTGTGCTGTAAATTTTGTCTATGCCAGTAGCCACTCCTGTTTCTTTGGCTACAATGGGGTAATTCTTTGCTACTTGTTTCATGCAGTAATTTCTTACTTCAAAGTGTTTGTATCCCTTAACTGGGATTCTTCTGTCCTTTTTTAAAAAAAGAAATTGTAGCAGCTTCAGGATGCTTATCAGCTCTGGGACCCTGTTTCCCTGAAAATAAGACCTTACCTGAAAATAATCCCTAGCACGATTTTTCAGGATGCTCGTAATATAAGCCCTACCCCCAAAATAAGCCCCAGTTAAGCAAAACCCTGTCCTCCACCATTGTGCAGCAACCAGAAGAATATGACATGACTGCATTTGAATAAATGTAGATTATTGCACATGAAAAAAATACGTAATACATCCCCTGAAAATAAGCCCTAATGTATTTTTGGAGCAAAAATTAATACAAGACCCTGTCTTATTTTCGGGAAAACACGGTAAAGGTAAAGGTTCTCCTTGACAATTTGTCCAGTCGTGTCCGACTCTAGGCAGCGGTGCTCATCCCCGTTTCCAACCCATAGAGCTAGCATTTGTCCACAGACAATCCTCCGTGGTCACGTGGCCAGCGTTACTAGACATGAAACGCCGTTTACCTTCCCACCAAGGTGGTACCTATTTATCTACAGTACTTGCATTTTTGCATTTTGCATGCTTTCGAACTGCTAGGTTGGTGGGAGCTAGGACAAGTCATGTGGATTCGATCTTACGACTGCAAGTCTTCTGACCTTGCAGCACAGTGGCTTCAGCGGTTTAACCCGCAGCGCCACCACAACTAGAGTCAAATAAGAAAACAAGATTCAGTGGTGCCCCGCATAGCAAAGATCCTCCATAGGGGCGGCCATTTTCGGTGCCTCTAAAGCGAGGCAACAGAGTGGGCGGCCATTTTGGAACCGCCAATCAGCTGTGTGAAAATGGGGCCTTTGGGAGGACCACGGGGGAGGGAACCCTTCCCCGCGGTCCTTCCGAAGCCACCGCCGGCATTTTCGCCCAGCTGAGTGGCGGTGGCTTCACCAATTTAAAACATAAGTACAAATAATAGTATATACACAAGCATGGTGCCACCATACTAGCAGATTAAAAAGTACAAATACAAATACGTACATTGTCCAAAATTCTCGGTTAAAAACAAAATACAAAGAGATTAAGATGTACACATAGTTTCATTAAAAGCCAAGTAATTTCATGTGGGTCTTCAGATGAGGTATAAGGTATTCCCACAATGTGAAGATAGAAAAATGCTATTAGATACAAATCTGTTATTTATTTAGAATATTTTTACCCTGCCTTTCTCCTTAAAAGGGTTCAATGTGGCTTACATCATTAAAAGATATATGTATTAAATCTAAATATTAAAGCTAACAACAGCTGTTTTACACACACACACACACACACACACACACACACAGAGGGAGAGAGACACACACACAGACACCAATTTAGGAAATCATTTCAGCTACCTGGTGAGGTGACCTGTAAACAAAGAAGCTATAGTATATCCCACATGTTTGTGAGCTGCGCAGTTTGTTTCCTGCAATAAACTGCAAAAGTTGTTTCTTCTGGAATGATCTTTTTAGATCCTTAAAGGAGTGGTATGAGTTATTTATTGTGAGGTGCCATGATGCAGACAAATGAAGATTTTCAAAACGTAGATTCTTTTCTTGTTTGTTGTTGTTGCATGCCAGGCCCTCCTGTCTTCCACTGCCCCCTGGAATTTGTCTTTTCTTGGTACCTTACCTCATGGATTCCAGTTAGCTCATTTTTATTAAAAATCTTAAAGTGGGGGGAGTTTATCTAATAATAAAACAGACTGTGTTTGTATGTCTGTCTCAGCCATAGGGCTGAAATCACAGGACCT